CCGCTGTGATTGGCGCGGCTGCCGAGTGAGGGCGGGGGAAGTGGGGCTTGTCCCCGCCTACTTCCGGGGTGGTGGGGGAAAGACGGGCATTGGCGGCAAGATGGCGGTGCAGGCGGTGCATCTGGAGGCCGACGCCCTCCTGGTGTGCCTCAACCACGCGCTGAGCACCGAGAAGGAGGAGGTCATGGGGCTTTGCATCGGCGAGGTACCGGGGCGGGGTTGGTCGGGGCTGCGCGCGGGAGACACAGCGGGAAGAAGTGCTGCCCGGGCGGGGCTCATGGCCCGCGCCAGTGCGGGCCGTGCGATAGTGGTCTGCGGGCTCTTACCTTTCGAACGGGGCTCAGTCACCGCAGCAGGGAGCGTTGTACAGGCCTGTGTAGGGGCGGGTCCCCGGCAGAGCCGTGCCGCTGCGCCTCCGGCCTCCCCTCTCCGCTCCTGGCTAGCGCCGACTCGTAGTTCCAGCTGCTGTGTAGGTCAAAGCTTAGAGTCAGGAAAGCTTCCTGTCTGCATGCCTGACTGTGCTCTGATGCGTACCTTTTCCCTACTGAAGGTACAGGAGCCGGCCTTTTCCTTGAGGGTGGTTATTTCTTTAGCAGAGAAATGATCGATTTTTCCTTCTGTGTCATTAGGTTGACACCAGCCGAATTGTTCATATCCATTCTGTGATCATCCTGCGCCGCTCCGATAAGAGAAAAGACCGTGTGGAAATTTCGCCAGAGCAGCTTTCAGCTGCTTCTACTGAAGCAGAGATATCCTTTAGTAGAGACAGCAACAGACTCGCCAGTGAAGTGGTTTACCTCAGACCTCTTTTTATGTGCTATGTTTTAGACTTGTTCTGGTTGGCTTGAAGTTGTCTGTTGCTTCCCTCCTACAACTGTTCGGTTTGGAGGGCTGTGCTGGCAGTTGCCATTCTCTGAAGTCTTTGTTGGTTCCAGTGTTTGCAGTGGAATTGTGTTGTAACTGTTGTTTATAATTTCTTTGTATTTGATCACAAGTAAAACTGAAGTATGTTTTTTGGGGAGGGTAGCAGTTCAGCAGGGAGACTTAGTAGAAGATGAAAGGCTGACAAGTCTCTGTTTCCAAGCGTGGTGCACTGGAGAGCCTTTTCCCTACATACACTCAAGGATGCCATTTTGGACAGCTTGCTGCCATGTTTCTTACTGCCACATGCAAACAAAATCCGATTTGCTTCTGCAGCAGTGACATCCTGCCAGTGCTGGGGAAGAGGCTTCCAACAGCTTCCTGCCATGTGTCTTGTCACCCATCTAAAAGGGATTTGGAATTCTCTTGACTGATGAGAAAACTCTTTTTAAAAAAAAAAAAAGCTCTTTTAAAACTCTGCTGTTTTCCCTTGTACAAAAAACTTCTTCCATTTGCTTTATTGGTTTCAAAAGCACCTTGACTCACACACAGGTTGGCTGAAATGACGGGACGTCCCATGAGAGTTGTGGGCTGGTATCACTCTCATCCTCATATTACTGTTTGGCCATCGCATGTTGGTAAGAGCAGTCTTGGTCTAGGTTCTATATGAAAACTCACAGCTAGCTAATAGTATTACTCAATTTACTGGATTTTCAGAGCTGCACATCCCAACTATCAAAGTTCGGTTTCTCAAACGTCCTCTGGTAGGACAAGATTGTCTGGGTGTGCTTCAGGAACCTCTGCCAGTATAGCCCCATTCCTGTCTGTGTGCTCCAGGTGCTCAAACTGCACGTGACTCAGTAGTCACAGATCAGCTACTACTAGAACTACTGTTTTTCCAGACGGGAAAACTAGACCTAGGGTGTTGGGAATAGCAAAAAAAAAAAAACAAACCTGTGGGAATCATAGGCCTGCTGTAATGATTTTTGACATCTGTGAGTGTTAATGCAAAAATGAAAACCTTTTTGAACGAAGTGCATGAGTATCTTACACGTGTTGGACATTACGGCTATATAGTATCTGTGGCACCAGGCTGATGCTAAGGTCATTTCTTGTTTTGTTAACTCATCTTGTATTTTTAAGATTTGCTATTTAATTACATTTTAAATTAGATCAATTTTTTTTTTTAACTTAGTCACCTGGAGTAAGTACTTTTAAAATAAAGCTTGTGACATTTGTTGCCAAATTCCAGGTCACCCTTCAAAAGGTGGCAAATCTTTTTCCACTCCTTCAGGTGATCAGTGCAGTTCTCATTCTCTTATTTCTTTGTCTGCAGATGTCCGCACACAAGCTATGTATCAGATGATGGACCAAGGTTTTGTAGGGCTTATCTTTTCCTGCTTCATTGAGGACAAAAACACAAAGGTAGGCAACTTAAAAATGGCAATAAGCCGTCCAAGTACTCATGAGAAACATCAGCCCCAGGGCAAAGCTGAAATCCTTGGATACAGCCTGCAACAAGGGCTGAGCTCTGGTTGGAGCACAGTCAAAGCACAGCTAGAATGGTGAAAAGCACAGCTAGAATGGTGATGTGTGGATCGTAATCCATGACAAAAGAACGAGTTATTAATTACTCTCTTCTGATCCACAGCCTGGCGCTCCAGCCAGCAGAGCTGGGCTGGTACTAGGGTTCTGGGACTGCATCAGATGGCTGCAGCATGTGTGTGCATTGAAATGCGTGAGTGCATTGAAATGTGTGAGTGCCCTTCAGCTGTTCAGTCCAGCAGATACAGCTTACTGCACCTCTGTGCCTCTAGCCTCTTTAGGAGATGCTACCATAGTGTGAGATAAGCTGACAGTGGTGTGTCTTGTCTAGGTTTTCCAGGTAGCTATTGTTTAAGATTTTTTTCATAGTTAATGGGTCTGTCAATATCTGCTTGTAAACAGTTCCAGCATACCAATCTAAGCAAAAAGCATGTACCTTTGCAACCTGTTAAAGTGCTATTTGAAAGCATATTCTACTTCCTAAAGGAATGTGTGGTTTTAGATGATGTTTTGCTCTTGGAATCTGACTTTCTGCTGTCTCTCTTAGACAGGCAGGATTCTCTACACCTGTTTCCAGTCCATTCAGGCCCAGAAGAGCTCAGAGTGAGTACAGCAGAAGAATATTCATGTCCAGCATCAGGTTGTATTTCATCTTGTCTTTCTGGGTTGTTTCAAATAAATGTCTTCTTGGCTCATCATGAGGAGCAAATATTGTAAAGAGATGCCTGAATGAGGTCACCTTACTTCCGCTAATGCAGGCTGCTTGAAGAGAATCTAAAGATTGGGACTGATTAATTTAGCCTAGATAATTTAGTAGCTTAAGATTTGGTGTAGGACACTGTGGTCTGAGTATGAATTTGTTCTCTAATCTGTTGTGTAGAAGGCCCACCCTTTTGCTTTCAACTTTAGAGGTCGAGGCTTCAAGCTTGCATGGTGTAGAGTCCCCACCAACCGCACACACGCTGTGCATCATATTGTCAGTACTGGCAATCTAGTTGCTTTAGCATTTTATCATTAAAATTTAAGACAAGTGTGTGGCTATAAAAGGCTTCCATTTGCCCATCAACTCAGGCATGTGTTCCCAAAAATAAACCTGCAGCAATGCCATGCGTTGGACAGACTGTTGCAGGTTTGTAGAAGTCCTTTCTTCCTCTCTGCTGCTTTGAAGTTAATTGTACCTGATACCCTTTTAGATATGAAAGGATTGAAATTCCTATTCATGTTGTCCCCCATGAAACCATTGGGAAAGTGTGTCTGGAATCAGCTGTAGAGCTGCCCAAGATCCTTTGCCAGGAAGAGCAAGATGCCTACAGGAGAATTCACAGGTAATAACAGTGGGGCTGTACCCCTCTCCAAGACTCTTTGCTAACATGTTCTACTGTTGCTGTACTTAAAGTACCATAACCTTAGCAGGGGTACAGAAAATAAGAAGCATTAGCAGCTCATGTGCCTTTGTAGGAGAACTGATTGAATACCTTCACATTAAGGAGTTCAAGTTCTCTCAGCCTTGCACACAAGAGCTAAGTGTAACTGCTCCTTTGCTGCAACAAAAAAAGAGCTAGAGCATGTGTGAGCTAATGGTGGTACTTCAGTGATGTGTCTGTGTGTGACAGTAATTAGCGTTTAACCAGGGTAAGAGTGCTGAGGAGAAGTCTGAAAAATGAGAATATCAGCTGCTTTTTTTTTTTTCTGCCTCTGGTGCTCAACACTGATGTTTCTGTGAATGTGGCTTCAACAAGTGAAGAGGTTTAGATGTACCTGCAGTGTCAGTGCCTTGTAGGTAGCTGGTTCTATAGC